TTTTTTTTTTTTTTTTTTTTTTTATACTCTTGAACTAATTGAGGTTCATACTGACCCCGTAATTGTTATAGAAATTTAATAAACCCCTGAACTTACTTAATTTTTAAAAGAAAATACTCTGTTACTTTATCGGTGTATTTTGTTTTGTATATAAAGTCAGGTTTTTTCCCTGTAAGATTGATGATATAATTAATTGAAAATATTAACTTTTAGATGAAGGTGTAGACTGGATTACAGAAGTTTCTAGAATTATTATAATAGTCTTCAATGTGGTAACACAGCAAGACCTAGTGTTACCCTTATGTTATTTTGAACTCTTAGTTTCGATGAGTTGACTGTTGTTTCATATTTCTTATTTTTAGGGACCTCGAGGGAACTGTGGGGTCCTGCGACAATGATATGGTCAGAAGTCCCTAGGTTTTCCTGGGCTAAGAATTTCACATAAAAACTGGTAAGTTTTGCGTTTAAGTAATATTACATACTATTAGTTTTTACTTCTAAAACTGCTTCAGTTAAGATTCTATGGAGTAAAGATGTAATTAGAATGTTATTCAAAACTGAAAAATAAAGTTGAATTACTAACTAGTGTTTTATTTGAATGTAGGTAAAATTAGCAAATGAAAACTTTTCTAGCTTTTTTATTAGTAAATCGTTTAATAAGTTCAGTATAAGGAATGTGGTGAGTACCACATAGATATTCAATTGTGTAGCTTTATGCTTAACTACAAACAAGCAAACTTAAGGCGTTTTATTACTGAAAACGTACTTTCACCAGAAGCCACTGATGCGGGAATATTGCAAATATTCAAACTAATACCACAATATTAGGAAATAGTTCTTTCAAATTCACTTCACATAGTTTGTTTATGAGCGCTAATGATTTCATCTTCATCACAAACGTTTTCTTTGTAGGTTTAATTTAAAAATAAAAGTTCTTCTATCAATAAACCTCCATTTCTATATTCGGCATATTGCTAACAAAGGGTTACAAAGAAACCTCTATATCTTCTTTTGTAGTGCCAATAAAATTACACAGAAAAGAAAAGACTGCAAATATTTTCAATACTTCAAATAGTACTGTGAGACCAGCTATAAAAATCAATTAAGCAGAAATTTCTAGTCAATTTTCTGATTAATTTTGCCGATTTCAAGGAATAAAATTATCTAAACCAGTTATTTCTGCAACAATTTGGATTCATTTACGATATTTTGGCAGTTCTCACTCAGGGTCAGCAAATATTTTTTTAATAAACTATCAAGATTTTCTTGTTTCTACATCTAGTGTAGCTTGTCATTTGTTAATGACAAGATTTCTGTGGTGTATTGTAACCAAAATTTTATATCAGACAGAATTCATCAAATGCACTCATATGATTGGTATACGTTAAGTATCTATCAATTTTAACTTAGGTTTTTGCTCTAAGATTGAATGATGTAGAATGTTCTCCAAAAGCAACAATAAGGTCTGGTAAATGTTGGGCCTATGGACCGTCGTATGTTACTAATTCGCTGAAGAGACACTGGGCAAGATTTTTGCAAAATGTCCTATCGCTTTAGACTGCATATAAAAATTGATATACAATTTACAATGTTCCAAAGAAGGTAACTACTTGAGAGCATACTTCAGCAGCATTAACACCAACGAGATTCAAAATGTGATTGTTTAGGGAAATTAAATGAGCCTGAACGGCATTACATTTACTCGCCATATTGGCACCGTTGTCGTACCTTTGCCATTTACACAATGAAAAATCAATATTTTCTGTCTGGAGAATTTATAAAATAAGTTTTGCTATTTCTAACACAGTTCTTTTCATCACAGTCTCCAAACTGAAAGAAATGCTCTTCGTTGAAATATCCCGTCTTTATCTAGAAGTACATAGCATAGAACAAATGTAGTCTGTTACTTTCCAGTGTTCTGTCACCACGAATCCAAAATATCAGGATCGATCTAACTCTTCCAAAATTACTTTTTTTTTCAATTCAACAATGCACAAAGATATAAAATCATTCTGTGAGTTCAGAGACAACTAGTTTACTTGAAGCCTAATTTCTTCATGTTGAGCAGACTGAAGTCTATTTTGATGTGTAACAATTCTAGAATTCTAAGAAAATTAACATTATTGGCATAAACAATTCGTAAGCTATCGCCTTGAAAAGCCAATCGTCTTTCTAAGAAAAAAAAAAAGCGTTACATCCAAGTTTAGTTTTAAAATTTATTCCCATTTTTCACGCTCATTTGCGACTTGTTTTTCTTTGGCTTTCAATCCTATTTCCAAAAACAGAAAAAACAGTTTTACATCTAAGATAACAGTGCATATGGAGATTGCTTTGACAGTGCTATAGTACACGATCATAGAGCTTATGTCACCTTCAGTTATTGATCCAACGATCTGCACTTGCTAAAACAGGCAATTATGAATGATCTGATTTGTTGAACAAGTGGCAGAACAGACAATACAAAGACTACTTTGATGAACTCCCTATAAGGCAGCCTCTTTCAAGTGATTCCCCATTTTCACCTTTGACGTTAATATAAAGGGTTTTGTTTTTGTTTGTTTGTTTGTTGTGAATTTCGTGCAAAGCTACACGAGGGCTATCTGCGCTAGCCGTCCCTAATTTAGCAGTGTAAGACTAGAGGGAAGGCAGCTAGTCATCACCACCCACCGCCAACTCTTGGGCTACTCTTTTACCAACGAATAGTGGGATTGACCGTCACCTTATAACGCCCCCACGGCTGAAAGAGCGAGCATGTTTGGTGTGACGGGGATTCGAACCCGCGACCCTCTGATTGCGAGTCGAGCGCCGTAACCACCTGGCCATGCTAGGCCAAAATATAAAGGGACTGTATTTGAGTCTCTTGGAATGATTTTATTTTGGCAGTGGTAGTCTCATATCACTGTTATGATATATTAAAAGTATACTTTCTGAAAATGATTTGCTGTTATATTATAATTACTTATATCAAAATAGCTGAACTTGGTAGTTTTATTCCTTTATGTGTATAAAGATTAATCTAACACTTCATTATCTTGATCAATATGTTTGGCAACTTCTAAACCTTAATGTGTTTGATATGGTAGTGTAGGTACAGAAGATGTAGAACTGAAACATTTTTTTAAAGACGGGGTGCTAACTATTGACATTTCCTATCGTTTCTTAACCTGTTTTTGTATTGCAGCACGAAATTCATATAGTTTGTTTATTTTATCTAAATGTATAAAAAGTAGTTTTGATTTTTTATTCTACAACTTACAGTGTTTGTTCTTAATTAGGCACAAAGCTACACAAAGGGCTATCTGTGCTCTGTCCACCACGGGTATCAAAACCTGGTTTCTATCGTTGTAAATCCGCAGACATACCGCTGTACCATTGGGGAGCGCAACTTACAATAACATGCAAATTATTCAAAACGAAAACATTTCAAACTTGGTATTTAGTAAGAGACTTTTTGAGTTGGAGGCTTCAGGAATTTCCCTGGTCTGATAGGGTCTTATCTAAATTAAACTTTCACTTTTAAATGTTAACTTTAGGTTTAACATGTAGTTTTGCTAAAAGTTTGAACGGTAGTTTAAACATTATATTGATGTTTGTTTAAATATGACTTCTGTAAATCGTTTCAAATATGCATTTTAGGTTTGGAGTTTAATTCCACTTGCACACCAAATTGATAAGAGCTCATTTCATGTTTCAATTATCAACTCGACATACAATACTGTACACTTGCCCTTGCTTTGTTTTTGTTATTGTATTGTTATTTTTGTTTGTACAAATAAACATCTTTTC